AGAACCTGCTGAATTTCACCCCTGGAAGTGTCCCCATAACTCAGTGTTTCTCAACCTTGTCAACTTGAAGACGTCTGGACTTCAACTCCCAGAATTCCCCAGCCAGCAAATGCTGGCTAGGGAATTCTGGGAGTTGAAGTCCAGACATCTTCAAGTTGACAAGGTTGAGAAACACTGTCCTAACCACTGCTGGGGAATTCTGGGAGTTGAAGTCCAGACATCTTCAAGTTGACAAGGTTGAGAAACACTGCCATAACTGTTCTGCTTATAGGTGCAAAACAGGCATAGGTATGTTACCTGTGTCCAGCACACAATAACGGCCGTAGTATTGCCTACTATCCCTCAGGTTTCACTAGAAGTAGCCTCCCATTTACAACCATTCATTTAGTTCAAAATTACAACAGCACTGAAAAAAACCTGACATGACTGTTTTCACACTTATAAACATTGCAGCACCCCCATGGTCATGTGACCAAAATTCGAATGCTTGGCAACTGGCCTGTTTTTATGACGGCCTGAGAGTCCTAGTGTTATGTGATCACTTTTTGTGACCCTGACAATTGAAGTCAATGGGGAAGCCAGGATTCGCTTAACAACTGTGTTACTATCTTAATAAACTGCAGTGATTCACTTAATCACTGTGGGGTGAAAGGTTGTAAAATGGGGCGAAAATCACTTAACAACTGCCTCATTTAGCAACAGAAATTTTGGGCTCAGTTGTGATGGTATGTCAAAGACTACCTGCATTTGGCCCTCAAAGGGGCTAAAGGAAGAACTTTGCAAGGCAAAATTCATTCTCCAAGACTTAGTTCCATCATTCAGTCCAGAAGGACTTCACAATCCACTGGATCAAGGGATCCAGATCCAGAATGAATCCATCAAGGGTTTCAGAAAGAAAAACAGGAATGGATCCATTTCTCTATGACATTCTTAGATGAGATAATCCTTCAGAGAGAGAAAAAGCACATGCACTCCTATTATTTTGCCTGATTTTGAGGGGTTCAGATTCAATTTTGGAAGGTCTTTTCAACAGCCTTAGCTGAAAATAATAAAATTGACCATTATATAGAAGATGCCTCATTCTTTCTAACAGTGGTCTGGACTGACATGAGATGTTTAGGCCCTTCCAAAGCAAAAAAAAAAAAAAAGCGCAAGATGCCATCTTTAAAAATAAAAAGCAGACAGAGAAAAATGACCCTAAAAGAATTTTTGGCTCAATACCTGTCCTTGCAGGTGAAACTTTAGGAGGAATCCATTTTTTTCCCTTCCTAATTGCCTCCTCTTTAACAACAAAGCATGATGTCTAACAAACTTGGAGAATCTGGATTCATAACTGAAGTGAAATTTGAATTTCAGATCACAAGACAGATTGAAACTCTGTTCCATGATGAGAGCTAGAAACTTGAAACTGAATAGGGGATCTGTGTGCATTTTCAAGACAGACGATTGTGCTATTTTACACAAAGCTACCTAAGAAATCTTTTACCTAACAAAATATACAAGGAAATGCAAAAACTGTGTTTGTTTGTTTAAACTGTATATTTTGCACTGCACAATTAAACTTGATCGGATAAATTTCTTCTTCTATAATTTGTTGTTGGGTGTATGCTAGCAATAACTTTTTAAAAAAGAGTTGGCCCGTGCCTCAAAAAACATATTTTTCATGGAGTGGCATTAAAACCCTCTACAGTTTTTTTAAAAAATCTTTCAAGGCAATACTGCTTTAATCAAAATCTATTTGGTCAACGTTGCTATTTACAAGCAGTGTAGACCATAAAAAGCTATCTGAGCAAACACTGTTTTTATCCACCACTAACCAATCACTATGTGTTAAAGAGATAGTGAGAAGATTTACCTGATTGGACAGTAAAAACCTCAGGTTGCCTTCTTGAGGAATTAAACCCTGATTGCTGCTAAGACAGGAGAAGCAGAAAAAAAGTTGGAAAGAGAGCTGCATGGCCTAATATAAATTGGGCGTGGCCAAAGAGGGGCGGGAGGGGAAGGGGGGGGTACTTCCAGGATTATCCAATAGGATACAAGGAGCGTGATGTCACCGCGCTCAACACAGCATGGTCTCAGCTAACAAAGCGAACAATAGGGCAGATATGTGCCCCATTGACAAGGGGAGAAAGACTGATACAGACCCCAAAATTACGAACTTTAACAATACAAAAATGTTTCACAACAACTTAGGCTGGCTAGAAACAAAGAGGCGGAGTAATTCTTATTTAGATGCTTGGAGAACGCCTTAAAATGTTTCAGCTTTGGAAAAAAAGGAAGGTACATTTTCCTACAATATATTTTGCCATGTATTGTGGTAGTTTTGAAATGTAAAAACCGGCAAAGGAAGATAGGAGAGCATCAGTTCAAGATTCGGCCCATCAGACGCTCATCTTTGTCCACTGAAACTTGCGAATTCTCTTTATACCTTTGCTGCTAAGACAAAAAAATGGGTTTTGTAAATCAAAATGTTAACCTGCATGGAAAGAAGGAAAAAATGTGAATAATTGGAATTATGCTGAGTGAGCAGTTCACAAAAGGAACGGCATGGGTCCCAAAAGAAGCGGGACTTGAAAAACGGGGCACAGATGACACCCATTTCACATTAATTCCAGAAGGTGGGTCCAGTTTCCCAACTTATTATAAGTCTTTTCATCCAGAAAGAACAAGAAGCCTCCAAACCTGTGCTCAAATGAATCTCCTCAATGTGTGTAGCACCTTGTCTTTTCAAAACAAGGATTACCTATTTTAAATACAATTCATAAAGATGCTTACTCGGTTCTCTCGAAACAAGGGGAAAGTAGGTGGAAATGGAAATATTGTTATTTCTGGAATAATTTTTCCAACTGTAAATGTTGAACGTTTTTTAGTTTCCTTCCTTCCTTCCTTTCTCTCCCCATTTCTATCACACGAAAAGAACAAAGAAGCTTTTAGAGTCTCCCCAAAGCCAAATGGAACAGGCCCAGAAATTAGGCGTTCCTTGGCTTTCTGGATTTCAGTAAAGTTTGAATTAAGGAAGAGAAACGCAAAGCCAAATATGGCTGGATTTAGCCACAGAAAAGCTGGAAAAGTTGGTACTGGGGCACAGAGAGATGAAGCCTGCCAGCTTTCGCATCGAGAAAGCTTTAAAATGCAGCATTTCTAAATGCATTACATAAAACAACTTTTTAAGATTGGGGTGTGCACATACATTGGTTGCCTCAAGCAGGCTCAGCTACCCTTCCAAAGTTTTGTTTTTGGAAAAAAGAGAACAAAATGACCAGCAGTTTGTTTGATTTCTTCCAAATATGGGGTGGGTTCTATGGATGCTGCTTTCAAAATATATATGAGTGAAAGATCTTTTCATCCCCAAATAAATTAAAGAGAGAGGGACAAGCCCAGGTGAAATGCAACCCTATCCCAAGACTTTTAAAAAGCTAGGTAGGAGATTGCTGAGTAATTGGGGAGGGGGGTGAGAGGATCTCTAGGGGCAGGTGTGGGTGGGGGCAGAAACTAAGGATGGCAGACCCGCCCTTTCCTACTGATGGGCTAACTTCATTATGGGCACAACCAACCAACTCTCCTGGCATTCTTGGACGTTTTTTTTTTTTACCTTGACGGCCCACGATTTCTGCCACATGCTCCGAGCTGGGCACCGAGACGCATTCCGTCATGTTGACACTTTTCTTGCGGCTGCCGATGATGCCCAGTTGCCCGGCCAGCAGGGGGTGCTGTGGCGGAGCGGGGTGTCCCAGGTGGGGCGGGAAGGCCCCGAGGATCTCCACGGGGGAGGCGCAGTTGGAGGCTGGGGGGCTGCCCTCGGCCTCCAGCAGGACCAGGCCCCCACCACCTGCGGGCGGCGCTGCTGCCAGCGGGGGAAGCCCATGGTAGCTGAAGGGGTCCAGCCCACCTGGATCACCTGCCTCCATCAGGTCGTCCTCGGGTCGTGGTCCTCCTCCTCCTCCTCGTCGTCCTCCATCCTCCCTGGCCTCCTCCTCCTCCCTTTCTCTCCCGCCTTCTCCTTCCTCCTCCTCCTCCTCCTCTTCCTCCTCCTCCGCCAGCCCTAAGATGGAAAGCTGCTCAAAGGCCAAGGAAAGCTCCGCCGCGGGGTCTCGGGGCGCCTGGGCTTCTTGCAGGAGAGGCGGGGAAGGCGGCTCCAGGCTGGGCTGCTCGGGGCCGGCAGGCAGGGCGAAGCCGCTGCCGGAACAAGCCGGTTGCTGCGCGATCTGGTGGGGGGTCAGCAGCCCGCCCAAGCCAGGCGGGGGGCAGCAGCGGGAGGCTTCTCCATCCAGCTGGTAGATGGCGCTGGGCATGGCTGCCTGCAGCTCCCCCTCCTCCGCCGCCTCCTCCTCCTCCTCCTGCTGCCCCCCCAGCCTGGGACGGGCTCCCTGCCTCCGGCTTCGGGGCGCTCTCTCGGGCTGCCGCCGCCGCCGCCGCTGCTGCACCGCCCCCAGATCGGCTCCGCTCGCCTAGGATCCCGCCCCCCTGCCTCCTCCTCCTCCGCCGCCTTTGTTTGCTGGCCCTGCCGCCGCCTTCATCCAGCAGCCCGGAGAGGCGTGGGGGGGGAGGGAGGTTGGACGGGGCGGGGAGCCCGAGCGGAGGCTGCCGGCAGCGCCCCCCCCTCCACCCGATGGCGCCTCGCCGCGCCTCTGTCCCACCCCGAAAGAGGACGTCACCTCCAGCCCAACAATGAAAGACCGGGTGGGGGGGGGCAGAGAAAAGGGGGGGAAGGCGCATGCGCGGGGAAAGCCTTTCCCCCTCCTCGGGGTTAGCCCCTCCCACTCCCACGCGCTGTAAAGGCTCGGGGTGAAAACCGCGGCCACGCCTTCCAACTTCTGGCTTGGGAGTGGGGCGGGAAATGGGGCTGATTTAGGCCGGGAGGGATGTTTCCGCACCTCAACCCGATTTCCTGAGCTGTCTTTGTAATAAATATATATATATATATATATATATGTACGGCTGGCTGAAGTCTCATGGTGCAAGGAGTGGGTGGGTGGGGTTGTACTATAAAAGAAAAAAAAAGAGAACTTCTTTCCAGTCAAGTTCCTTGGGAGTTTTGGAGTGCAAAAGCGGTTTCCTTGGCCGCTTTTGGAGATTGGGTTTTGTCTAGTTTGCAGCCTTGGGAGTTTCCTCGTGGTCTACCATCCCAGCGTTTCAGCCCAGTCCTCTTTAGCTATCAGCTCCTGTAGACGTGGCATGTTTATTTAGAGCCTCAGTAAAGAGCCTAATTGGTGACCTTTGTAGGAAACTCCATACTTTGGCTAATATTACTTTGCCCTGCCCCACCCTCTTTTGGTTTAATTTTTGTCTGATATCAAAAAATGAGTTGATAAAGGAACTATATTGTGTGAGTGCAGTTACTAAATATTACAACCCAGTGTTGCTTTGGGAGCCAGTGAGAGTGGTCACATCAGGATTTAGTGTATGGTGCAAAACTATGAACTTGGGATAACATTAACCTCATTCTATGGAAATTCTCAGTCATCCAGGTCATAGTTGTCCCAAAGGTGCTTTTTCAAGAGGCAACTGGACTTTCTGGTTTTTCTTTGAAGAAGTTTCACTTCTCATCCAAGAAACTTCTTCAGCTTCACCATCTTCAAAAGAAAAGAAAAAAACAAGTCCAATTGCCTCCTGAAAAAAGCACCTTTGGGACTAACCTCATTCCAACATAGCTCCAAGTCCTGATCATCTTCTATGTTCTCTGCAGAAAGTATCTCCTCTCGGTTCAGAGATAAACCTGCAGGCATCTCTGAATTTCATGCTTCTCTGTCCCACTATTCCCATGCTTTCCATAGCCGGGAATGCAGGATTATCAGTCTTGGCTCTGGTTGTGATTGATTCATGGCCATCAAATTGATATTAACTCTTGGTGACCTGTCCCCAAGTTGCTCCTTCAATGGTGCACCCATCCCAGCTATGATCAAGTCCACTTAATGATATTCTTCTGCTGGCTGCCTTTTCTCCTTCCACTTTCTCCAGCTTTATGGACTTCTCAAGGAGCTTGGTGTTTGCATTCAAAATTGAGTTGGGTCAATCTATACTCTTCTTTTTCCAAGTCCAACTTTAATTTCCATAGAAAATCACTGCATGGCTAATTCTGATCTTTCAATGTAAAATACAGTTGAATGAATGAAGAGCCATGTGCTTCTTTCTCAGTTGGGACCATTCGTATCCCCAATGTAAATAATCCTAAAGGTTTTATTGCTTTTCATTTCCCCACCTACCTACCTTTAAATCATTTGGATGTCACTTGATTGGTTAATGGTTAATTTAAAAAAAATAAAAAAATAACTGGGTCACAGTTGAATTGAAAATACAAGTAAGACTTCAGAGAAATACAAACACAATATACTGAACAAATCGAAGTGCATTCTCCTGGTGTTTCATTTATAAAATTGGTTGCTACAATAAAAATAAGCTTATAGTAATATAATAAAGAATGCGCAAAAAAGTAAAGAATGGAGTATGAATAACTGTCCTTATTTTCTTACCTCCCTTCTCCCTGTACATAGTAAAATGATTATTGCACTGCTTTGGGTTTTATTGTTAATAGTTAAAACTAATGCACTAATACTTATATTCTGTCTACGAAGCTACTGATTTCTTTCCATTTGTTTTCTTCTTGTGGCTATTAGTGACCCCAACTAATAATTGAAGGAAGAAAATGCAATAATTGACATTTTAGCAGAGAATAGCTCCCTTGGGAACTACTTTTGAATAGACATGGGTAGTATTGAATTGTAAATATTGTATTGCTCTAGTTTATGAAATTTATATATACTACCCAATTCAACAATTCTAAATTATGAAATGACAATTCTCACTCTCCCTCAACATAGTCCTGAGTGAAGAACGGCTCTTCTAAACAAAAGTCGAGTGGGGGGCCATCTAGAACTTGGGCAAAGCCTCATTCCAGAGGGCAGGTGCTGACACAAAGGTGTGCTTCTGAAGTCCCAATAAGATGCCAACCAGGGGTGGATTGCTGGGGGTTTGCACAGGTTTGGGAGATCCTCTGGCTAGGATTCTGCCCAGTTCGGTGAACCCCCAAATGGCATGGCAGGCCATGCCCGCCCCTCCCAGGAGTTTCCACGTGGCCCTTTCATCATACCAAATAAGTGCAGGGCCCGTGGAGGGGAGAAAACAGGCCTACTGGAGGTTACGGAAGCAAGGCTGTTTCTGGCCTCCAGAGCCCGGGGGAAGCAGTTTTTGCCCTCCTGGAGGCTTGAGGAAAGCCTCCGGAGCCTGGGGAGGGCAATGGTGCAGGAGGCAGACTAGCCCACGCCCACCCAGCAACGGGGCAGCGAACCCGTTGCTGCAATTTTTGAAGCCCACCCCTGATGCCAACCCTTTGAGATCGAACTGGTTGGGCAGATACTAAGGGAAATAGATGATGCCTCGAATAACCAGGCCCAATGCTATGTAGGATTTTATAAGTACCGAGCCAGGCCCATCATTGCTAACACTGCTGCTTTCTGGCCAGTTGAACCTTCTGGGTTGTACTTCAAACCACATAGGTTTGGAGTAGCCAAGCCATGAGATAAGCTTGTATGCCCTGTAGGTCTATGTCCTATTTATAACAGTTTACAAAACAAGTTGTAATAATATTTTCATATTCAGAGGAAAGATTTAACAATATTCAAGAATATTTGGAAGAACATTTCAGCAATCCAAAGGTAAACTCATGACATTTTTTTCTCGCGTAAGAATTAGCATAGTGCTTAATTTTGGCTAGAGCATGTGCATCTAGTAAACATTTATTCCTTCTATCTTCAGTTCCAAAAATACGCAAATAATTTTCTGAATTTGCCCTAAAATATGTAATTGTGCAGAGAATTATTAAGTTTGTAAATGTTTCAGGACCAGGTGAGAATATATTTAATATAAGTTGAAACTGTGCAAGGGAGAATTCTTAACTTCAAACCCACTATAGCACAGAAATGTCTTTTTATGTATTCAAATACATTCCTTTGTGTGTGTGTGTGTGTGTGTGTGTGTGTGTGTGTGTGTGTGTGTTTTCACCCTTCTTTCTCATTTGGTAAATTTACTTTTACTATAGATAGTCCTCAGCTTACAACCATTCGTTTAGCAACTGTTTGAAGTTATAGCAGGCCTGAAAAAGGGCGTTGGTACTTACCTGATACGCCTCTTCTAATAAGGTGGAGATAGCATCCATGCATGGGTTAACACGGTCCGTGCTCTGATTGGACTGAGTCTGATTAATAAATTAATTAATTCCCTATATAACCCACCCCTGAGTGACTCCACCCAGCTTTCCCTGAAGAAATGAAGACAGACTCAACGTGTTATCCAAACATCAATTTTACTAACAACCCAAGGTTTCACACCAAATACAATGAAATGCATAATCCATAAGTAGACCACTAAAAGGAAACTGCCAAAATGGAGAATGAAGGAAGTTCGGAAGTCTCTCAATACGGGCGGGCCGGATGCTATCTCCACCTTATTAGAAGAGGCGTATCAGGTAAGTACCAATGTCCTTTCTCAATAAGGGTGAAGATAGCATCCATACATGGGACATACCCAAGCCCGGCTGTCCTCAAGGGTGGGACCTCTATTGTTCCGAACGCGGCCCATCAGCGGTAACCGCCTGCAAGACCCTGCAACTGAAAGCTGCGTCAGCTGACACGAATTTATCCAATTTATAGTTCTTAATAAATGGCGAAGGAGATGCCCATGGCGCGGTCCTGCAGATTTTGTCTAGGGATGCTTGTTTGGCCCATGCCATGGTAGTGGCTGCACTCCTTGTAAAATGGGCTCTGATGCCCCCCGGGTCGTCTCCTGATGCAACTCATATTCCACAGCTATACACCGCCGTATCCATCGCCCTATGGTGGCCACCGAAAAATTTTCACCCAAGGAAGCGGTCTGAAATGAGACAAAACTGCCTCCGTTTGGCGGATATGTGACGTACATTGGAGGTAAATTTTAAGTGCCCTACATATGTCTAACTTGTGCCATTGTTATTCTAAGTGGTGAACTGGTGCCGGGTAGAAATTAGGCAGCACCACCTCCTGGGCCCTATGGAACCAGAACCCTACCTTTGGTACAAACGAAGGATCTAATCTAAACACCATTCGGTCTGTGTTAAATTTACACAGATGTTCACGGACTGACAGGGCATGTAGATCTGATATCTTTCTAGCGGAGGTTAGCGCCACCAAGAAAGCAACCTTCCAGGTAAGTACCTAATGCAGAGGTTCAAAGGGTGGACCGGTGAGGGCCTCCAGGACCTTGGTAAGATCCCAAGTTGGGTATTGAGGGACAACCAGTGGTCTCAGATTGGCAGCTCTTC